TTAATTCGCGTTCGTGGCAATCGGTAATCGCGCGTATTATTTTAATGTGAACTGTTTTTCTCGAAAATATGTCACGAGGACGATAATATATCGAGTATGAGAAGGGGTGACGTCGAATCGAATCTTTTCCAAGCGAGAGAAGATTGATTACGACTTTGTTAAGTTAAAATTAAATTAATTGCTTTATTAATTCGTCGGTTACCAAGTGTAGGGACGGAAGTAGAAATATAAAACTTTATTTGCAAAAAGTCTAAAAATTAAAAATATCTAATCTATATAATTTACGTACAATATATTTGTAGAATGCGCATAGAATTTCCTATTTAAAGAAATATATCATTTTAACGAGTTACATTTATTTTATGATCTATTGATATTAAGAATATCTAACATATTTCTTATATTTCTTAACCTTTTTCTCTACATATAATATAAATTTTACTATTAATTATTTTTTACCACCACGTGACACTTTGATGAAGCAAGAGGTTTACTATGTGTCCCTAGGATTGATATCTGTTCATTGTCGAATATAATGAGCAGTCCGCGTGATGTCGTTAAGGGGCCAATCGTAAAAAAAAAGAGTACAACGAGAGAATAATGTGGCCCGAGCCACGAAAAAGGGACGACAAAGGTGTCCGCTCGTCTGCGAGTGCCCGCTGCAGGAGGACCGCGATCAGGTGAAGCGCACGAGGGGGAAGAGAGCGAAACAACCGGCAGGTGGTGCCGAGAGGTGCGCTGCTGATATACGCGTGCGTCGTGACCGGTTCCAAGATCAGCGCGGATCTCCGCCGCGCGGTTTACCGTCGCTTAATAAGCCGCTACAAGGAGGACCTACCGTCGGCCCTAACTGTGTGCCGCAATAAATCTCGTAGCGCAACGCGCAACGTTACATACGAATTGTGCGATTGCCAGGATCTGCGACGCGATCGGGCAGGTGGTGACCGCGGCCGATTCCTCCGGACACGTGGAGTCTTTTCTTGCGGAGTAAACGAAGGTCACATCGAGCGTATGGGCCTTTCGCGCTTTACGCTTCGATTCTCTCTCCGGAAGACACAGAAATTTTTGCCTAAAGCAGCTCGCTAACATTTCCACGATTTTCTTGCGAGTGAACTAAAAAATAAAATTTTAAACTATATATTTCTTTTAGGAAAGAATGCGTAGAAGAATATTGAAGGAAATATGTATCTTGAGACTAAGGTTGCATTTTGATAAACAAGAGGCTTCACCAACAATATTTTATTAGCGATTTTTCACAATTTGCGCGAAGTTGATAATTAACAAAATTGCACCGTTATATTAATTTTTTTATGTCATCGAAAACGTTACTTTATTTTTACTTATGTTCGATCATTTTGAATCTCGTTAAGCCGAACTCTTCGAATTTGATCGCCGCGAAGATGTGAAGACGTAATCGTCACGAAGTTTTAATTTCATACGCGAGTGCGTCGAACACGCGTTATCGGCAACTATCGAGCATAATGATGTAAGAACTGCATTTATTCGAGTTGGATAAGAGTGCCATCATCCCCACCCGACTTGGGCCGAAGGTGCTCCGACAAAAAAAAAGAGCGAGCACGAGCTGATATAGGACGCGGGGGCAAGTTTTCCGTCTTTCTTTTATCTCCCGTTCCTCCCCTTTTCTTTTTCTTTTCTTCGGTAAATCAGATGCAGCCTCGCCTCTCACCTCTCCCGAACGTGGAGAGCAACAGTTGGCGAGGAGGAAACATCTGTCGGTCGCAGCGCATGCGTATCCCTCAGGTAAAAACCTGAAGGGGTTCAGGGATTCTCAAATTTTTGGAAATTAAACTCGCGAATATCGTATAAAAGAATTAAACTAATACTTTTAACAAAAAGAAAATTTTAATACCTACGTTGCAACTATATTAGAGTGTAGAAAGTGAAAGGAAAGAGAGAAATTTAAATCAGATATAATTTACTGCAATTTACAATTAAATTGTTGAAAATTTATAGTATATAAATATAAAAAGATACATTTTTATATTTCTTAACACTCGTAAAAATTTACTGCAATTTATAATTAAATTGTGGAAAATTTATATTATATAAATACAAAAAGATACATTTTTATTATCAAATTAATAAAATTCGTATGGCTCAAATGTGATAAATGCAAATTTGAAGGAATAAAGGACTAAGAGCCGTGGCAGGGTGTTAGTGTCTAAATATTTTATTCTAAATTTATTCATTTATATATTTTTATATTTCTTGAAACTCTGAAAGCTTTGAATCTGAAGATTAGGCAAATGAAACCGTGACGTGATAAATCATGCGACATGCGAAGCATTTCGAACGCGGAAAATTAAACTACCTATTCCCGTGCTCAGTTGCACTGTTAGAATTCCTTACGTCTATATCCAGTGATGTAACTTTAGAAACGTTCAAGAATTAGGACCGAATGTCAACTAAGTGCGGAACGTTGAATCCTCGGGTAACGTAACGGAGATTATTGAAATGTACCGTGTTTGTCGTAGTAAAATCGCACCGTAGGACGATGTGTTCTGTTAATTTGAATCACGAGACTAGGAATCTGGTGAGATACCCCTATTTCTGCCAGTTGTTGTACTTGTGCTACAAAGAACAAAAAGAAGAGCAAAATATAGAAGGTACATTCTTGTTTAATATTAAAAAATATTTTGTAGCAATTAAAACTAGCAAATTGGCGGGGGGAAGAAGGCCAATGCGAGTCAAACGCAGGTATTTGTGTGAAAATGTCCAATATGGAACTTTTTATTGAATTTATAAATTATTCATCAAACGTTTCGACCCATTTTCGGGTCATCCTCAGTGAGCCTAAGAACAAAGAATTATCAAAGTTGTTGCATAAAATTAACAAACTAGCAGATGCTAGAAATGTATTTTTCTCTGTAAATGTGATGTCAATTTAGTTTTAATACAATTTGCGCTTAGATCGCTCGCGATGCTTGAAACTTAAAAACTTTAGTTTAAAGTGTTCCTTTATAATTACACGCATTAAGATAAAATTTTCTCCCATTATACAAAACCTTATAATTTACCTACATAGAAAATTTACCACGTCGCGCGTCTCGGGGCATTTCATCCCGAACTTCTTGACATCTGCGAGACATGTATGTTGAAAAGTTTGTTCGATAAGTACCGGTTGAGAAAGTTCAGGCTAACTTATGCCGCGTCATTTATTTAGCCATCTTGAGGGCCTCGCATGACTCACGCCGAAATTGCACGTCCATTTTCGCAGGCGAAGGGTGCTGCGAAACACCCTTCATTATGCACATCGGCCGCGCTATACGTATAATCGCGCGGTCTTACATCGATTCTAATGTAAATGTACCGTTCACCTGAGTTTTCTGTTAGTCATAAACGCGGTACTCAACCCGCTCAAAGCCGGCTTAATTATCAAATGGCTCTTGTAATTTTCGTTTTTTCCCTCAACTCAATTAAATTGAAGCCTATCTTACTGAAACATCGAAATATTACTACGAATTGTTCGTCACGTTTGGCTAAGCTATTGCAATAGCGATTAGCATTTTTGATTGAGCGAAATAGAAATTCGTTATTTGATGTTAAGGTTACACGGTCGGTGTCGCGCGCGTGGTTAGGTTTGTCGCTTATACTTAGTCGCTTATACTTGGCGCGAGACACTACCGTGTCTCGTGATAATAAGTGCTGCATTTCTCAAGGCTTTAAAACTGATGTAGATCCTTTTGAACAAGCATTAATAAAGAACGGAGAACAAAAATTGTAACGTTTCCTGTGATCAGTAGACGTAATTTATTATTTATTTTATTCCATTGATTCAAAATGGTAATAAGATTATGTTTAAACGTGATTTTGAAAAAGTAAAATTTTTACGATTAGCGACTTTTTGCGTTTCCATTGAGATGGATGTGCAAATTCTTGCGGTTGAACACTCTTATGCGTGTGTCAATGCCATTAGGCCGGGTAATCGCGCGACTTCCACAGGAAACGTTCGGAACTCGTGATCAAACGCAGAAACCAAGAAAATGACACGTCTTCGCCGCGACGAGGAACGAGTTAGGCCGAGCAAACCGCAATATATTCATACTTTGCGAAAAGAACCTTCGAATTACGTGTGAAGTTCTGCGAACTTACATAAGTAGACAGGTGTATTTTTTTGCTTCCCTTTGAGTCCGCGGTTACTCCTCGGCAATTTAATCAGCCGACAGATTTTTCTCGTTTCCACGACGCGGCGGTTTTCGTTACGAAACAGATAATATGGTAATCGGCATCTAGTTTTGATATTTAAAACGTGTTTTTACCAGCGATTTTATCACTCTAATAATATTTAATAGTGTCACGTGATTTTTAATATCTACAATATGATCTATAATATGCTTTACTCGGAAAATCAGGTATTCTAATTGATATTTATTATTTCTATCCCGCGACGTGTATTCGTTGTGTAAAAGTGCGGCTTCGTGGTGGAGAAGGCAGATGCGCCGATCGAGGAATCGAGTTCCTTCAGCTGGCCCGTCTCGTTCTGCTAGATGTCAAGGTCTTTTAATGCTCCGAGCGGAACTTCCGATTTGGAAATTCGATAAGCGCGGAAGTAGGACGCCTCGATCAAACTATTATTCTCGCGCATAACGAGTTCTCCAAGGCTCGCTTATTTATAAGTGAGACCTCTGAGAACGTTATTCAACGAAGAATCTTTTGTGAGAAATAGAATACTATTAACCTACGTGCTGAATGAGATTACGGAATTTGTTGCTTCGCCGATGCGAGCTAATAAGTGCGAATAATGTTTGAGGGATATTCTTTTTTTAACGATTTGTTTCTCCTTAAAAATGGCACGGATGCTTTTCTCATGTTACAGTTTTTTTAACTTTAGAATAATTATGACATCAGCTTATATTATTGTATAAAATGCAAGCAAATTAGATTAATTTTACTATTCTGAGAGAAACCGTACATACTTAAACCGCAATGTTGCCTAATGTTTTGGAATAGCATAAAAATCGATAGACCGTTCTCTATTATACAATCTACTTTTTGTCTAATTACTCAGGCCGACAATGAGGAACTAATAATCGGTCAGCATATATCTAATTAGTTTGAAACATTCAAAAAAGTTATCGAAATTGTGAACAAAGCGCTTCGCTGGAAATAGATCGCTCCGAATGAGGACGAAGCGCCGTGCAGGCTCGAAAATCCAAAAGTGATTTTGAGAGACACTGCGTATATCTGTGCCGAGCGCCACGCGACCGGGTCGTCCGGTCGGGCCGGGTGCCGGGTGTTGTTGAAATCAACGTGGTGGGGTTCCTTCGACGAGCCTACAACCGGAGCCTTATGCCTTCAGTCGACTCTCGGCTCTCACTGCGACTCGAGCCGACTGAGATTCCGTTAATTGAGTATCGAGCAGCCCGAAAACGCGCCTGGATGCTTCAGGTGCGGGGCCATCCTTCACTTTAAGCAGAAGCAGAAGGAGCAGCAGCAACAATAGCAACGACAACAACAACAACAACGAGGGAGGAAGAAGAGGGAGAAGAGGAGGTTTGCAGTTTTCCAGTTACGTCACACACTTGGCAACTCGGGAAGTAAACCGCGTGGGATCTGATAGCATCTGGTGGAAGATAAAAATTGCGCCGAAGAAGCTTATCGAGAGGAAGTGAAGGGAATCGCGGGAGTAGTGGGGAAGGAAGTATCCTGCCGCGAGTCTTCGAGCAGTGCGATTGGGACTTGGCGCGAGTCGACAACCTCCAACCGATCGCGACTGACCAATAGTCCGGTCACTACTCCATTCCGATTCAGGTCGATCACCTCAACGATTTTGGACCCCAAGAATCGCGTGCTGCACGGTTAGTTAATAACGTGGGTGGTTGTAGGATCGGAAAAGAGAAAAAGATCCAAGAGAAAACATCGAAAGCCAGGAGCGGCCAGAAGCGAAAGAAAGAGAGCGGACAATCGAAGCAAGGGGGACCAGTCGATTTGCAGAGGGTGCGGCCGGGGCCGGAAGGGTTAAATAGATGCAGGAATCTGCAGACGGCGCCATAGTACTTCGCCGCGAAAAAACGGATATCTACGCTCGAAGGAACTCGCGTGAACGTGGCGGAAGGACGTTTTCTGATCGAACAGATTGTGCTCGTGAATTCCGATTGTTTTTGTAACGTCGATAAGGGATCGTCTGTTATCCGCAAGGAAACTGGCGGGAAAGCATCGATTCAACTTGCTGGAGGTTTTATCTAAATAATCGCACCGCCGATAACAATTACAGTAAGTCATAAAAGTCAAGACAAATATTCGCGAGTGCTCGCAAAATAAAGTGTCTTTTATATCGTGGTTGGCAAATCTCGTGGCATCGAGATTGATCAATAATTGATTCTCTCCCGCTTATAAAGACTCGTTGAAGGATTCTGAAGGACTGAACTTTACGGTGCTCGCGACAGTCTTGTAGACGACATCTATAGTGATTTATAAGCCACAATACATTCGCAAAGGATCGATTGCATTTAAAACATATTAGTATTTGCAATTTTCACGGCCGAGAGATCTCGATCTGAGACTCGTGTGAGAGTTTAAACACACTCGGTATTCGCTTGAATGACACCGGTGGGGATCTAACAGGGTTTCGGTAGCTTGAACGAGACGACGTCACAAACATGTTGTGCGGCACATTTAAGAAAAGCAGCAGACTTCTAGGGGACGAGTATCGGTTGGTTAGATCGAACACCATGCCGAGGACAGTGTTCGGGCCGAGAGACGTCAACGTGGTGTCTGTGCGGAGAACGAAGTCCACGAGGACCGCCGCTCGACCCTTGATCAAGGACCTATTGCTTACGGTAAGGCAGGAACAGATAAAATGACAATACAAACTTTGGGAGCGTCTGTCGCATGGAAATTTGCATCGAATGTGCCGCGCGGAATATATCATAAAAATAAAATAGTTTTGCGATGCACAGATTCTGCATAAGTTCGTATAGATTTTGTAACGAAATGGGACAGAGATATTTTACGACGCTTATGGGTAAAACCATCGAATATCACATTACAAAATTAAATTATTCAATAGAAACGATACAATTTCTATTGATTTACTTAATCGAGTTTTTTTCCACTCTTAAATGCATTAATATACGAGACAAGATTCGAAGCCTGTAATCGCACGATTGTTATTTCTCTTGAATATTTTTTTATAGTGATTTCAATCGTGCATTAAAAGTATTTACGCCAAATAATTGTTTACGAAAATCGGTAACATGTCGGCAACGCAAACACGAGTGTTCAGCTTGTTAATCGCATCGAGTTAAGAACATCGCGTCGCATGGACTAGTCAGCCGATTGATCCTCAAAGGATTCGGACCGTCTGAAATCTCCATACATGAATACGAATGCGTCATGGAGTTTGCATATGTATACCGGCTACGGCGTCGCGCCGTATTCGTATGCATGCATTTGTCCGTATTAATAATTTACGACGCCGCACGACTTTAACTCGGACGCAACGTCGTGCGCCAGGGATACGTTTTTAGCCGATTAATTAGCGATTTCGCGTTCTCGTTTCGGTAGTGAAGCGAGCAACAATAGCGCCACTGATAAGATTTTAGCGCTTGTTTTATCAGAAGACCGACGACGATAAGAATGCAGCAACCCGAATGCACCAGTTAATCGGTCGTTTTCAATCGATTATTTGCGAGATTTAATGAAAGTTCGCATATCTCTTGAATTTAAACGCGAAGATCACCGCACCGATTCTTCTGGTATCGATTCTGCCGGCTCGATCCCGCGATGGTCTCTCACGTTTTCTCTCGTTCTTTTCGTTCTTCCCGAAAGCATCGCGTTACTCCTTTTTTCGGTCTAAATCCGGCAGCGGCGAGGCGCCTCGGCGCCGCCACCTCGGATTCTCTCGTGGAGTCCGCCTGGACCGAAAGGCAGAGAGCGACTCTCTTGAGGCTTGCCTTATAAGGTGTTCCGCGGGATGCCCAGCGTCCATTAGAAATCCTTTTGTCGGGTCCGATCTCTTTTTCCGGCGGATTCTCTCGAAGGGCCACCTCATCGCCGCGGCATTCGTGTCTTCGCAATCATTCGCCTGCTGGGAAAAGGCGCGTTGAAGTTTTTCAAGAAGGATTGTATCGTATTTTTAAAGCACCAAACCTGAAAGAACGGTTTGTAACATTGACTTGTCGAGTGTAACAAGTCTGACGTAGCAGTCGCTCGACGAAAATTAAAAAAACTCGTCTCGCAGAAATATTTATTTCATTATAATTTAACATCACTTTACTCTCGAATCAAAGATACCGCGGGCTTGGATATTGCGGGGAGTCTGTAAAAATTTAATCGAATCCCATTCCATTACTGTAGGAGTACAGTAGCCGCAAAATCTATAGAAATTAATTGCGATCAATATTATAGCTGGTAAACACGGTAATTCGATGTCGTTCGCTCCTATTATCCGAGTAGCCTCTTTACCAGCCGCTGATTGGCCGTTACCCATGGACGAGGGTCTTTTTTTCCAAGGTAGAGAGAGAGAATTTTAATGCATAACTGGCGAGAATAAGTTCATGAATATGCACATAAATATAGAGGACGAGTACGGGCGCGAGGTGCTTTTTTGCGGGACTCTCGAACGTTAACGCGAAAATATTCGTTGCGCGGCTTGCGCCGAAGTGCCTTCCTTGCCGAAGGAAGAAGAAATTTTGTCTGCGGTCAAGGACATCGTGGAGTCCGTATAGGAATTTGACTGGTACAAGCTCAAATTTGTTAAAGTCCGCAAATAATACGAATATTCGGGATAGGATTCAATTACTGACGTTATGCGATAGAAACATCGATAGATTAATTCACTCGTTCGGAATTAATCGCGATAATTATGACAATGCGGCGCAACGCGGTAATACCCGATAAGATTTATAGCCGTATTGTTCTTCGCTAATTATATATACGGTGAATTTTAATTTTATCATCGGGCGATACGGTGGTCTTTATCTCTACAAATTCTGAATCAAAATGGAATGATACATGTTTTACCATATATTTATCACATTTAATTCTATCAGTGCACATTTTCTTCGGTAATACTCTATTTTTGTTACCCAGCGCGGTCATTATACTCGGCTCTAAAATATTTGTCTGTCATTAAACGAACCAGTTTTTCCGACTAGAATAAAGAAAGACCGCCGAGCAGTTACTTTTTCGTCGTTTGCCTGTTTGTCAAGCGTAACGTTGCCTCCTCGAGGGAAAATATCGTGAAGCAGCGCGTTAATCAGCGCGGTTTACATCCTGCCATTCGTGAAACCAGATCGCCCGCGAGGTAGTAATCGGCGAAACCGCGCCCGTAGACGAATCGCGCGATATTTGCAAGGATGTTCGCATAAAGACAATACTTTCGCCTCGGAGTTTCCGAGGGAAGAGACGCGACGAGGAGGGAAAGAATTGAAGTTGCGGGGAGAACGCGTGTGCTTTTTTCGCCGCTGCAATTTGTGTACCTCCACCGCCCTTTGTTCGCGTCTCATTTTTTGTTTTCAACCCGCTCCTCCTTCTGCTTTCTCTCTCTCTCTCTCTTTCCCTCTCCCTCTCTCGTCTTCTTCATCCTCCCGCGCCGCCGCGAGATCCTCCTCCGCTCTATCTTATTCGTCTCTCCGCATCGCGAGATATCCCAGCGCATTCCTACGTATCGTGCCGCAGCGATTTAGGCCTTTCCAGTCAATAGCCCTTAGGCCTCTGTTAGGACCCACTCGATAAGCTACGTGCGAAATTAAAATTTGTTGGTGCCGAAGATGTTGCTGTTTTATTAAACGGCAGAACTGCTTTTGCATCATCTACCGAGCAATTCGCCGCAATTCCTTTTTAAGTTTAAGTTATAGGAAGATAAAAGGTTTAATTTGTTCTTGCGTTTCTTTATCAGAGTACAAAAATATGCCAATCAATCAGTTGCATTGGACCTATATTCTTAAAAGATGTTTGTTTCCCCGATATACACATATGACTAGAAATTCTTGAATATCTCTTGTAAATCCCAAGTATTTAATGATCGAAATTAGAAAGTTTAAGGAAAAAGACTCGTCCAAGGAACCTCATTTCTATTTGTAAGTTTATCGAGTCTTGTAAAAAGTATCCTGTACACCCTGAGCGGTGCCGTTTGCGTAACGTTACACAATTCGATTTTAATATCCTTTTTTTCACCTTCCGGTTGTCGGGGTCGGTAGCCTCCTATTAAAATCATACCGCACTCACACGAGATATTTCCTCCGAATCGCGCAATTAGTTCTGCATCTAGTATGTTAATTTTGTTATAATTACACTCGACGCGACGGGCATGTTTCGACAAAAACGTTGTTACTATATTATTAATCTGTGAGTGATCGCCAGGTGTAATTTACATCCCGACGGCTCGATTTACTTTCGTTCGTATTCATTGCAATTAATTTGATAATTTTACGCGATAAATTCCGCTTTCCAGCTAATCAGCCAAATAACCATCAGAGTATCATCTACCGCCGCGCCACAAACAAAAAGGGTAACCCATCGTACTTGCTATGTAACGAGTTGCGTATCGATCTATACGTGAAATGAAAAACGCAGCCAGCGCGACTAAAAAATCGCGCGTTTATTTTTGAAATAAAGATGAGTAGACTACTCGATAATGGATAACTTCTGCCCTCCCATTACCTGCCGCTATTAGTTAATATTAAGTAAAAAAATTAATAAAGTGCACTTTACTTATAAATTCACCTATAACTACGCGCCTCTTTACATAGCAAGTATGACCAGTTATCTTTTCTTTTTGTTCTTTCTGTCTTTCTAATTGCTATGCACGAATTACGTTTATAGACTTTAACATTTACGGGATGAAGTTATAAATTGTTACTGCACAAATACGGGTTTTCATTATTTTATATCATTATTGGGTCGTAATTTTGTCTCTCTCTTTCTCGTGCCATCTCTCTTCTTATTATTAAATTGCCGTCGATTTTCTCGGAAACTAGATGATCGCGAATCGTTCTCGACGCGGCGGGCGGCTGGCGTGTACGCTATTAACTCTAATTAGCGATTATTAGAAGACATTCCGCAGAGAGACGGCGCCGCAAATTGAAGGCGGCGCAAACCGGTGTGAACGACAGAGAACAACGGAGGCAGGGGACGAGAGTGGATATAACGGCCTGATTAAAACAAATCGTCGACCGGCAGAAATGAAATTGCTAGTCGGCCACTGCGCCGAGATAAGCGGTCTTTTGAACCAATTTTGTTCTGTACGGAGCATTGCGAAAAGTGCAATTTATCGCAATCCTTATTTACGTTTTGACACGCCTCTATAGAAGCTCGAGAAAAGCAGAAATAAGAGAAAACGTACTTTTTCCAAATAACGGAAAGAAATTTTCAGATCGAAAACGTTAAAGCAGAACGAATTTAAGGTTAACCGAAGAATATAGAAAAGTCTACTAATTACAATGAAGTCATTTCGTTAATTCACTGCTGGTAGTAAAAGGATTTAAAAAAATTGCGTACAAAATCATTCCTCAAATCGACGCGCGAAAAACTTGCATCGGCGCGAGTACGAATAGTGAGTCGGCGATTTTATCGCGACGGGTGCCAAATTGGGCCCAGACGAGAAAACAGGTACAAGTGTCATCACTCACTGACGAAAGTACGCTCGCGGGATATAAGACGCGCTTTCAACGTGCGATACGGCGGAATAATCGTCGATGGTGCAACGAAAGCGCATTGCATAAGTTTCTTATGGCTTCTTATTCTTCTGATTAATTGCGGATTTCGAATAATGCAAGCATGTGGTACAATGGGCATCTGTTGGCTCTGATCGCGTCGATAGCTTTGATTAACTGAC